GATCAACTGCGATGCTCATCAAACCACATATATACAACAAGTTTCAGTTTTTTTTCTGTCCCGACGAAATACTAATAGCAAGACTACGTCGATAGAAAAGAAAAAACGTAACCCTCATGGTCATGAAGTTGTACGTTTACCTGAATTCCGGCCCAACCCTTGTTGACATCACGGGTTTTACCGTCGGACTCGTTGGCCCAACCCCACAAAATCCTGCGGTGCTTCTTATAGTCGAAGAAGGATTTAGAAGCATAGAAGTTGCCGTAGTCGTACCGGATCCCGGCCCAACTGTCCACCGAACCCTCGTCGGGAATGTACTTTTCCTTTTCGATGTCGTAAACTCCGATGGTGTAGTACTCGAACCTCGTGAGATCCAAGCTCACCTTAAACACGTGCTTCACCGACTTGTCCACTGCCGACGTGTCCAAGCCCCTGTCCCCGGTTTGGGAGACCGGGTAGAAATCGGGGCACTCCCACATTCCGGTTCCCTGGACGGAGTGGAGCGGCTCCTTGGCCTTCACCCACTTCTTGAAGTCCTTGCTCGTGTACAGGTACGCGATCCCGAGCATGTCGTTCTTGCTGCCGACCACCGTGTGCCACTCCCCGTTGACGAACCAGGCGGTGGTCGGGTCGCGGAAGGCGCTGGCGTTGACCGACGGGTCCGGGTCGATGAACGGGTTCCCCTGGTCGGGTTTGACCCACTCCCGGAGGTAAGGGTCGGACAGGTTCTTGGGGACGGCGAAGTCTTGGAGCTGGCGCTCGTCTTTGTCGATCCCGGTGTACTGGATGAAAGGCTTGTTGCCGGGAAGGATGGTGGCGGATCCGGACCAGCAGCCCTTGATGTCGAAGGGCTTCGAGGCCTCGATTGCGGGCTCCAGGGCCTCCCAGTTTATCAGGTCCTTGGATACGGAGTGGGCCCAGACGATGTTGCCCCACACCGAACCTTTGGGGTTGTATTGGTAGAACAGATGGTAAAGCCCGTTGAAGTACATTGGGCCTGGATATAATGGAAATTCACACTAATTTGTTATTTTCTTTCCGCAAGACGATGAAGAAGAACAACACATCAGAATCAGACGCAAAACAAAAACCGGCTTCTTACTTACCATTTGGATCTGTGCGCCGTTCACAATTTTCCATTCATGACCAGTACATGGTGTGACAAAACAGAAACGAGCACAAGTTAGTGAAACTTTAGTCAAGAACTACAATAAATTTATGACTAGGAACATAGGGTCACTCTCCTTATGGTTGGGTTGGGTATAGGGAGGGAGGGAGCATAGAGCCTTCTTCTTTTTGGCAAATGCACTTGTCCCCTTTTTTCTATCTTTGGTTGGTCTTTTAATATTCGGAGGATACTCAGATTGAGGACTAGTTCGGTCAATCAGGCGCCAGTTTTGCTTAATCGTACAATAACTAGGAAGATAGAAATAATTTTTTTACCATTTAGTGGAAGTACAAGTTGATCCCAAACAATTATAAGTAAATGCTATGTGTTGCTAAATTTGGTGTATTTGAGACATTCCTTGTGAAATGGTTTCATATTCTGAACTTGTTATCAACGTATCTGAATATACTACGTATGAAAGAAAGTAAACAAACAAATCAAAATACAATAGGTGTTACATATATTCTCCTTCTCCGTATTTATTTTTTTCCTAGCTTCAGTATAAAGGGAACATCTCGACTTTGTCATATCTACAGTAACATATACCACAATAGATAAATCACAGATTTGTTACTAACTCTTCTTATCAAAGACAAAGTTGGTAGTTATCCTTATAATCCCTTCAAACTAATTATTAACCTTTGTTTTCATCCCTCGATTTTGTCAGGTAACATGCACATGAAGTCGTTACAAGAAGGGAAACAAGATCCGAAACCACCATTATTCAAACCCCCCCAAGAAAAAAAGAATAACAATATATATGAAACAACGTAAGGTACCGTTGATCCAGTGCTTAGGAGGCTGGAAATGGTAGCCAGTCCGGTGAGTTTCGATGACCTTATCGGCGGGGACAGACTGCAACTCCCGGTACACTTTGTGGGAACCTTGGACGCCGCTGTTCCCGATTATGGTCGCCGCCACCACGCAAAATGCGGCGACATGCAACAACGTCGTCGCCATCGAAGGACGAAGGTTTTCCCCACCCATCATTAGTTTCCCAGTTTTTTTTAGTTTACTTTTTCGATTTTCCACTACACCATCCACAACCCGACGCGGTTTGAATAAATAGAGAACTGGCGAAGGACTCCGCGGTAGTAAGTAACTCGGTTTCTCTCCGTTTCTTTAGAGAGGCGGAGGAAGCGGGTTGGGTTCGGAGCCTATTTATAGGACAGCGACCCGGGTCGGAGTCTGGCTATTTACAGACTGAAATTCAAACCAAAAAACAGCAGCATTTTTTTACCTTTTTAGATAAAAAAGATTGTTTGGTAGTTTTTGTTTGTGGGATTCCATTTATTCATATACGGCCTATTTGTCATTTACCGTTTGGATATAAGTTGCCATTTTTGGAGAAGGGGAAACAAACAAATCGTTGGCTGATATTTAATCTTCTGTTTGTTAATTATGTTTTTTGGATTTCCTTTTTATGAATAATTACTTACTCGTATAATATGTTGGGTTTGGGACAGAGTGAATAATCAGTTTTAAGTGGGTCAGATCTAAGAGAGAAAAATTAGTGATTTTTTCATTTTCTTATTTTTTAATTTTTTTTTTTTTTGGTTTAATTTGGATTTTCAAGAAAATTTCACATATTGAACGTGTTCGTTGTGATCTAAAAATTTATATCCATTTTTAATATATGTAGGGTAAAAAAGTTCAAACCACTCATACCACTCGTTACCACTCTACTACCACCTATCCTTGGTTGCACTCTTTCCCGAGATTTTTCCTACATCAAAACCCCCATTCCTCAACCACAGTGGCTGATTGGATTGATCCGGAGAGTCGAGGGTGGAAGCAGGACGTCTTTGGTAGTGAGGTGTCCATTGAGAACACAAATGACATCTGAAGTATCCCCATTGGTCCAGAGAATGGGGTTGATTTGTGGGCTAGGAAATTCATGGATTATGAGAATTTCTCGGTTCCGTCTACTTGCCACACATTCCACAGGTCGAATGGGAGAGCGGAACCACACTAAACAACACCATGCATCTCGGTGTTTGACAAAGATAGATGGAAATGTATTTGGAGCTTGTCCCTCCCTCCAAAATTTCATTACTTCATTTGGTGATGCATTAAAGACCTCATTGCTACAAAAAGCAATCTGAGAATAAAATGCTCTCCAAACACCAATTGTCTTTGTTGTCAATGCCATATGAATCTATCCTTCACTGTTTATTTCTTTGTGACTATGCGGCTAATACTTGGAACATATCCTTCCCCTCTCTTCCATTTCCCTCAAGCTACTCCTCGTCCTTTGGTTGGGTTTTGCAGTTTGAAGGTCAATCTCACATCCTTAAGCATCCTATTGTGTAGTTGTATTGGAATATCTGGAAGGTGAGTAATGAACTTGTTTTTAGGGAATCCACTCCATCACCTATAATACTTGCATCAAAACATTTTGTGAGTTCCACAAGTGGTTGAGGTGTCCCAAGAGGCCCTTAATGTATCCTCTTTCCAAAGTCATCCCAAATGGCCCGTTCTTATCCATGTCCACCATCTAGCAATCCCATTTTGGAGATTTACTATGATGGGTCATTTTTACATTATTCCTAGTAGGCGGCTTAAGGTATTGTTATCATCAACAACCATAGGCGGATTTGTGATGGACGAGCTGACTCAAGACTTTGCTCTTCACTGATCGAGGCAGAAGCATGTGCTCTGTTGGAAGGTTTGAACCTAGCTCAAGCAATTAGTCTCGAGTGTGTGATTAAGTCAAATTGTGAGATCCTAGTGATAGCCCTCTCTTCTTGCCCCTCAACATGGCCATGGCATTTGTCGACACAACGATGAGTGGGATCCTTAGAACAACTTATAATATCAAGGTGGTAGCCATCCGTCTTCGCCTTAACGTTAGAGCTTATTAGGTAGCACGTAATCAAGCTCACTCCACTCTTCCTCACAACTGGATCATTGTTTTTTATTCGATCTCAAACTTGATCACATGAGTGTAACCACGTTGCCCTTGATAAGCTATGGAATGCAAGTATCTTATTGTTAAAAAACCAAAAATGGCTAAATTACACGTTTGGTCACTAAAATTATACAAATTTTCACTTTTGCTACCCGAATTACTTTTCTTTCTTATTCATCACTAACTTTATGAATCGTGTCACCATTAGTCACCAGCCGTTACATTGTATTAAATTTTTTCTACGTGGCAGTCAACAATAAAGTTGGCTAAATTACACATTTGGTCACTCGAATTATACAAATCTTTCATGTATGCCACCTGTATTACTTTTCTTTCTTATTCGCCACTAACTTTACGAATTGAATCACCGTTAGTCACTGTCCGGTAGACTCCGTTAAATTTGTTATACGTGGCAGTCAACTATAAAGTTTGATCGTTAACTAGATGAAGTGAAAATTATAAAAAAAAATAAAAATATATTTAGGCAGCTGGTCGAGGAACACTGTAAAAAACGAATGTGCGGGGTCATTAGAACATTCGATTAGGCAGGATGAACGGAAGGAGAAATTCGGCCAGCTACTGCAATTGTTGAAGAAGGAGAGGTGAAGCGTGTCGAGCGAGATGTGGAAGTGAGTTCGATCGAGGGTGAGGTTGTGGAGAGGGTTTTGCAGGAATGGTCACCGCCGAAGGGAATGAGAATAGGAGGGAGTGGGTTCGGTAGAAGATGTCTGTAACACCCCGACCTTTTTCAAAAACCAAACCATAACTCAAACCGAAAACCGATTACTCCGGAGCAACCCAAACCACATTTTAAAATAAACAAACTGACATTATTTAAGAATTTTAAACAAAAAGCCCCAACACTTGGGAAAAAACTCAATTTCAAACACTTAAAACAACTTAACACAGAATCTTTGAACCTTGAATCTCCAGTATTTATACTCATAATCATAAACATAAATTAACTATGAAACTTTAACTATAACTCTTCACCCAGCTCCTTGACATCTCATCATCAGTACTGGCACGGCCGCTTGCCTCATCTTACTTCTTCTCGGGATCCACTTCCGCTAACCCATCCTCAACCTGGTGAGTGAGAAGGGGTCAGTCTCGTCGTTACTTCCTAAGGTCTTTGCCTAAGAAATCTCCTTACTAAAACACGTTATTAGCGTTTCATTCCCTTAGATGAAAGTCGTTATCACTTTCATCATTCATACTTTGCTTCCTTAATATCTTATTTCAACACCAACTCATAGAAGTTCTCGACTTCTATCCTTAACTCAACACAAAACACTAGGACCACCGCGTTACGTCTCGTCGTCCGGTGTCCTATCCTAGTATGCCAACCGCGTTACGTCTCGCTGTCCGGTTGCATACCCAAATTCGGAAATGGCACTGCGTTACGTCTCGCCGTCCAGTCCATGCCCGGTCAACTACTGCGTTACGTATCGCCGTCCAGTAGTGACCCCAATATACTCGATCAACTGCTACGTTACGTCTCGCCGTCCAGCAGTGATCCGACCATCTACTGCGTCCAGTAGTGGCCCAACCGCCCGGGGGTTCATCTTACATACAAACATACATCACATACATAGCACAACGCGTGCCTCCACCTTAAGTAGGCGGTGGGATGCCTCAAACACATAACGTGCATAACTCACAAATTAACTAAATAATAACTTCAAACGAAAGTATAAACTAAAAAGACCTCGACAGAGATTTTATCCCCTTTACACTACCTCAAATCCGTAGAAACCAACTCTGATTATGCTCTATAAATTACATGAATCGCTTCCATTAAATTCTCCCCGTTCTCACGTCTATATGCGCAGACGATTCCTCGTTCGGACGTCAATTGATCGAGTTATGACCAAAATAAACATTCTGTCAGTTTAAAAGTACCAGGTACCAAAACTGTAATTTTCCAGTCAACACAGTTGACCATGACCTCTCTGGAAAAATTACAGATTTAATCCTCTAACTTTTTGAATTGACAAGAATGGTACCTGAGCTATCCAATTTGCATCCTAAACTTTTGAGGCTCGATTCTCCTTCGTCCGACGTCGGAATTAGAATTCGTCAAGACGGTTGCGATCCTTGTATCGTCCTCTTTGCAACGAAACCCACTACTTGAAGAATATTTGAGATCAACTACGCTTGTGTTGTGCTGCCATCGGAACTCTAAAACACCGGAGGATACGCTTTCGTCGATGGTGGCATGGAGGTTTGGCATTCGGGGTAGGGACTGCCAGTGACCCGAGCAATTACCGTCGTCTGCTGCCGGTGAGGACAAGATGTGTAGTTTTGACGCATGCTGCGGGAGGAAAGACGAAGGCATCGGGGGTTCCTTCCACTGCTTACCGCGCAGGTGCTTCTCTATTTTTCTTCGATTTACGGGGCAACACAAATAATGGTAGAGCGGTGGTAACGGAATGGCGATTGGCTAGAGGTATGGAATAAATGGGCGGAATGGGAATAGTTGGGTGGGGAAGTAACGGTGGTAGGGTTTTGTTTATTTATTTGTTTGTCTTGATGGTGAAGAGGAAACGTGGAGATGATGATGACTATGATAATGATAATAATTAAGATAATAAAAGTAATAATAATAATAATAAAATGTTATTATTAATATTATCTCCAAACCACGGTTGCAACTCTTTGTACGTGACCGTCGATCTAATCATTCAGTCGAACCTTAATCGAACCCTAAGCCGAAAATGAGGTGTTACTTGTCTCTGATCTCATATTCGACATTGGAGACGGCGAGAGATGGCTAGGCTTGGTCGTTGCAGGTGATTATGAAATTGGGGAAGCCACAGAAACGTTCCTGTTTCTGATCGTGGTTGGATAGCCAGAATGGGTAGTTGATGGAAGGGTCGTCGCTGCTGCAGGTTCTGGGTTCGCAGGAGCTGTACTTTGTGCGTTGAATAGAGCAAGTTATGTGGGATAAGGTGTTGATGATGAGAATAGTGAAAAGAAAAGTACTCAAAGATTCCATGGCGGTCCATTTGGAATGAAGGGGGAGAAGAGAGGATTATGGAAAGGAACTGATGAGAAGGGAGAAGATTTTTAGTAATGATCCAAATCCGAAGAGAACCCTCGAACTCGGATTATATGACCAAAGTACGCAGCCTTCCTTCTTTTTAAGGATTTTTGGAGATTTTCTCCAACTTGAAATAAAAGATAGATGCAGAATCAATCGGACAATCACAACTCGTGATGAAGGACAATTGATATATTAAACCAATCGGACAACACCAACTCGTGAAAATGGGCAATTGATATAGTCAATGCTCGCCATAACTAGACGCGTTCTCTAGTTGATAAAAGACCACTCAATTCTCCCGAATCCTCAAAGGAGATATTAAGCAAATGTTCACAAAGGAAATAGAGTAAACACTCAATGTAATTGATAACTGAAATCTTGGGTACCAAATTCGTAGCTCTTACACACTCTATTTATAGAGGTCACAAAAACATAAATCTAACCTAAAAGGAATAGGAAAACAAATCTCAAACTAACTAGGAAACATAATACTACTTAAATAAGGACTATAACTCATTTTTTATAACCAAAGGAAGCTCCTTAGCAGCTAAGTAATCTCCAAACACGTTTTTTAATGCTTAAGGAAGCTCCGTAGTGGTTAAGCAATCTCTTTCCTTGTCCTTTTCATACTTGGACGAGTTGGGCAGCAAGGATGGACGTTTTGGGCTCCAAGAAATATTGTAGGTTGGATCCTTAATGCATTCTCCATTTTATCCATCAAGAATGCTCCCAATTGATCCTTAAATCGTTGAATTCGAACCTTCATTTTAGGACAATGAAAATTGAATATCGCGCTAGTCGTTATCGCATCATATGGACCATCTTCTACGACCAGGCCACCGGCACACTGCCATCAATCTCCTCGAGTACGCCAATCCCAGAACTATATGAGAATAAATTAATCATATTATTTGTTTTTGTAATTTAATTAATTTTTATTAAAAAAGTAATATGATAAATCTAAGTGGAATGATGAGGTGGACAAATAAATATATTTTTTATTTTTTTGAATTTCCACGTCATCTAGTTAATGGTGCCTTCCGTGAGGAAGGGATTAACTAGCTGCTACTGATCCTGGCCTAGCAAGCAGCATCAAACTTTATAGTTGACTACCACGTAGGATAAATTTAACGGAGTTAACGGCCGGTGACTAGTTTGAAACAATTCGTAAAGTTAGTGGAGAATAAGAAAGAAAAGTAATTCGGGTGGCAAACATGAAAGATTTGTATAATTCGAGTGACCAAATGTGTAATTTAGCCAATAAAGTTTTACCGTTGAATTTCCACCTTATCATTCCACTTCCTTTGTCTATATGATTTATCATATTAATTATTTAATTAAGATTAATTAATTAAAAATAATAATTTTGAGCGACATTGAGAAGGAGGATCATCCGGCTGCGACTGTGGTTAGGAATATCCACAAACCGAAACAAGTCCCCGTCAAGAGGTACAAGGAGCTCTTGGTGGAGCTCGATCGAGAACGGATGGCTCGACGAGCAGCGGAGAATTCAAAAGAAGAGGTAGTGGAGAAGTTCAATCGAGTCAAGAAAGCTGGTCATGAGGTAATCTAGAAGCATGACGAGCGCTTCGGACAGCGAGACCAAGCGGAGAGCGAAAGAGACAAGGCGCTGAAATCACGAGAGCGGATAATGGCGGAGTTGATCAATGAGGTCGCGGAGTAGAGAGACGAGATTTCCAGACAGCTAGACGAAGCGCTCCAAGTGAGGGATTCGTTGCGGCTGGAGATGGAGAATTCAAGGATATCTGGCAAGCTAAGCGAGTACAGGAATTTCACGACGGCCGGTGGTGGATTGCCAAAGTCGCCCAAGTAGAGGACAAATGAGACTGTGGAGGAGCTGGTTAAGCAGATTAACACAGCGAATTAGTCCGTAAATGATGCTAGGGTTCAAATTAAGAAGCGGAATTTCGAGATTGCAATTGAAGTTACCCAGCTCGAGGCCACCATTTGTGGGCAGAGATGAGAATTAGAGGGTAAAACGACATTGATCGGGGAGTTGCAAAAAACTGTGTCAGAAAAGGAAATCATGGCGTCTGAAATTGAGAGAGGGATGTGGGACAAGGCGCAGTTGGAGGTATAGGTGTCAAAACATTACCCGACCCGAGTAACCCGTCCAACCAACTCGATCCGCGACCCGCCCACAACCCGATTGGACTAAAAGTCAAAGACCCGCAACCCGCCCGACCCACAACCCGCTTGACCCACAACCCGCGTAACCCGCAACTCGCTTGACCCACAACCCGCTTGCCCGAACCTGATTGACCCGCAACCCGCTTGACCCGAACTCGATTAACCCAACCCGAACCCGCCCGATTGGCACGAATAATACTACATAATATATTTTTATGCATGAATATTATATGTAGATAATATATGTATAAAGCTTACCTGACTTGCCCTATTATTTTTTCATCTTTCCCACTAAGAACAAAGGTTTACTTTGTGTTGATAAATGAGAACTATCATTAAATTGAATCACATAATAGTCTCACTGTCTCGGTAGATAAGTAGAAATCCTAGGAGGGTTATCAAGATTTTTTACATTTGATTGATGTATATAAATAATATATATAGATAACGCATACATATGATTGACTTAATTAAGCCAATCCCAGTACCTAATAATTACAACATGTCTTGGTCTCTCTGCCTTTCAGTTCAACCAAGTTAACAACAAATTTGAATTGTAACAAATTAATTATGTGGACTAGCTGGCTTATGTGTTGGTCTTTCCCATTCAAGATACACATTTCAAATTAAAGCCTAGCAGAGGCTTATTTTTTTTAACATGTTTTTGTTAATAAAAAGTTCGATAGGTACACGGTTCAAAGCCTAGCAGAGGCATATTTTTTTAACATGTTTTTGTTAATAAAAAGTTAGATTGTAAAATATGTTAACTTCACTTAATGTATAGCATAGTTAGTAAAATACGGTACGGGAAAGTTAAAGTTAGATAGGTACACGGTTCAAAGCCTAGCAGAGGCATATTTTTTTAACATGTTTTTGTTAATAAAAAGTTAGATTGTAAAATACGGTAACTTCACTTAATGTATAGCATAGTTAGTAAAATACGGTACGGGAAAGTTACGTATAAAATACTTACGGATATTATACTTTGTCTCTTAGGTAATGTTACGTTTAATAATACGTTAATAGTCATAAATATATAAAACTAATTACTTTTATAAATAAATCAATATGTAAAAATAGTAAAGTTAATGATTCATTTCATTAAATACGGATAATAAACGTGTTATTAAACGGAGTATTTACTAACTATGATATATAGGGTATACGGTAGTGGACTCGTGGTTTAGAGTTTGGAGGATTAGGACATATGTTCTTCTCAATAACTGAATACAAAATTTACTTAACTAACACTCATCACATATCATACGTTATAGTTTATACTTTATACTAACAATTTCATAATACATAACTATAGTTCATGGTTTAAGGTTAGTGTATAGGGTATACGATAGTGGACTCGTGGTTTAGAGTTTTGAGTCATAGGAGGTATGTTCTTCTTAATAACCGAATATAAAATTGACTAAACTTACATTCTTCACATAACATACGTTATAGCTTGTACCAACAATTTCATAACATATAACTATAGTATAAAGTATAGTCGTATATGGTCATGGTTTAGAGTTCAGTGTTTGCCTGTTTGGGTTGTGGACTTATAGTTAAGGGTTGAGGTTAGTTTTAGGGTTAATTACTTAATGTTGTGATTTAAGGTAATGTATGGTTGATGGTTAAGGTTAGTTTTAGGTTTCAGATTTAAAATGGTGTTATAGGGTTAGGGTTTAGGGTTTCTTCATGGTTATGCTTTATGATAGATATTTTGGTTTTTATAGTTTAGTAATTAATTTTATTTTAACAATTAATTTAACTTGTGAATGTACATCTTAAATATATCATATTCAAATTACATTCCGACCGACGGATCGAACAACAAACTAGTGAATATACGGTTGTGGACTCGTGGTTTAGAGTTAGGAGGATTAGGACATATGTTCTTCTCAATAACCAAATATAAAATTGACTTAACTTCCATTTTTCATATAACATACATTATAGTTTATACTAACAATTTCATAACATATAACTATAGCTCATGGTTTAAGGTTAGTGTAGAGGGTATACGGTCATGGACTCATGGTTTAGAGTTAGGAGGATTAGGACGTATGTTCTTCTCAATAACCGAATATTAAATTGACTTAACTTACATTCTTCACATAACATACATTATAGTTTATACTAACAATTTCATAACTTATAACTATAGTTCATTGTTTATGGTTAGAGTATAGGGTCATGGTTTTGAGTTCAGTGGTTGAGTTATGGTTAGGGGTTGAGGTTAGTTTTAGGGTTAATGACTTAATGTTGTGGTTTAGGGTAATGTATGGTTGATGGTGTTATAGGATAAGGGTTTAGAATTTCTTCACGGTTATGCTTTACGATAGTTATTTTGGTTTTTATATTTTATTATTTAATTTGATTTTAACAATTAATTTAGCTATAGGGTAAAAGTATGAATTTAAAATATTTTGAAAACTTCTGAATGTACATCATAAATATATCATATTCAAATGACATCCCGATCAACGAATCGAATCATAAATAAATTAATCGATATAAAATTTATCATTTATAATAATAAATATCAAAGAAAGGAAGAGCAAAATGTTTACCAAATAATTGAGGGAACATTTTTTATTAAAATTTAAACAATAAATTTTTGAACCCCAAATATCTACTCCATAATTCTCTCCCCAAACGGCAAAAGAGCTTTTAAACCCCGCCCAAAATTTGGTCCAAACTTCCCCTCCCAAACCCGAAAAAAGTTTTAAAGGGGATTGCTAAAGTTCGCCCTAACCTAAAAGGTGAAAATTACTTCTTTGTCCTTTATTTTTTTATTATTAACTGGGCTTTAATCGGCAATCGCCCTAACCTAATCGCCCAACCTTATTCTTTTCTTTCCCGGTTGTGTCACTTCGATCGTTTCTCAATTGGAAAATTTCGATTATCTGGGGATACAGCGATGTCCAATCCCTTGGAGTGCGTCACTAGACATTGGGGAACGACGAAAGGAGAGATAGGCCATCAGCTTGGGAGAATTCAGTGGAGATGAGAGAGTTGCTTCTGATGTGACTATGAAACATGGGAAAGATTCGCTCGCTTGCTGAAGCTCTTCCAGAACATAAATTTCAAGATTGGGATTTAATTTGTTCTCGTTGGATGAAGGGAACTTTCTTTCCAGCTTTCCCAAAAAGTTGATGGATTAATTTCCCATTTGCAGGCACATCCCTTGCTATATGAGATATTAACTAAAGGGGGAACTCTGCAACATCATCGACTACCACAACCCTCGCTCGATGCTTGTGCTCATGCTTCGCAGAGCGGAACAGTTATCACTTTGGACAGTTCTCTCAGTTCTCATCATTTGGTTGTCAGGAGAATCGTATGTAAGTTACACTCTCGATCTTCAGATGCACAGGCTTTGATGGAGCACAGGGGAGAAGGACGCCGATAAAGGGGTTTGGAGAGGACTCTAAGAAGTAGGTCGGTGATGTTAAGGAGGATTTTAGGAGATTTTTTGTTTCATTGAAATTATTAGAGAAGGATAATTTAGTCATATTATGTTTTGAAGTAGGGCGATAATTGTAAAACTAGGGCGAAGTTTACTCGTCCAGGTTTTAAAACCCCGCCCTATACTTTGGCCAAAATTCCCTCCGTCCCAGCCTCTTTCTATAACAATATATATATAATATTAACAATAAAACTCTGGCCAAAATTCTTAATAATCCCTGCAACGTACCAACAAACTAGCAACATTCAACTTGTTTATGATATATTCAAGCAAAATCTAGCCACTCATTTGTTTGATAATTGACCTTCATATTTTTTTCATTGCAAAATGGTGACCCGTGAGTTTGTTTTAAATTATTGTAATAACTAATTATAAAAAAAATTTGATTGTTTGGACTGAACAACCCGCAACCCGACCTGTTGTAACCCGCAATCCGATCAACCCGAACCCGATTGATCCGCAACCCGATCAACCCGTAACGCGACTGATACGCAACCCGATCAACCCAAACCCGATTTTCCCGTAACCCGATCGACCCGCAACCCAATCAACCCGGAACCCGATTAACCCAAACCGACTTGACCTGCAACCCGCTTGACCCGCAACTCGATTAACCCGCAACCCGACTAAATCCGACCCAAACCCGCCTGATTGACACTTATAGTTGGAGGATAAATTGAGGAAATTAAAAACTAAATTGGAATATCTAAAGCCTTTCCTTATCGATCAATCAAATTTCTCCATGAAAATCCTCATCCGAAACGTCTCTCAAAATTAATTTTTATTAAGCAATAAATCATTTAGACAAAGCAAGTGGAATGATGAGGTAGAAAAATAAATTGTTTTTTAATTTTCTAAATTTGCATCATCTAGTTAACGGTCAGGCCAAACTTTATAGTTGACTGCCACGTAGGACAAATTTAACGGAGTGCAATGGCCAGTGACTAACGGTTAGACGATTCTTAAAGTTAGTGGTGAATAAGAAATAAAAGTAATTCAGGTGGTAAATCTGAGAATTTTTATAATTTAAGTGACCAAATGTATAATTTAGCCAACCAAAAACAAAACAGAACAACCCTCTGCTTACAAGTTAAACCTTAGTATAAAGCGAATGACAAGGCTATTCATGATCATAGTTAGTAAATACTCCGTTTAATACACATATATGTACACATATATATTTTATCCGTTTACAAATTTTGTATCCGTATTATTGTCAAGTTGTTTCATTTTTTCCGGTTCATTTGATGGTTTCCGTACTAAACACGTATAAAACTCATATAACACGTTTAATATCCGTATTTAATGAATTAAATTGTTAACTTTACTATTATTTATATATTTATTTATTTTTAAATAATTTATGACTATTGACGTACTATTAAACGTAACATTAAATTAGAGACGCAATAAAATACTCATACGTATTCTATATGTAACTTTACTGTATCGTATTTTGCTAACTATGTTCATGATCTAGAAAAAGTCAATTTTCTCCCCTTTGATTTATTTCTCTACCACAAGAACTTGAAGAAGGCAGCAATGACGCAGCTGCTGCTTCTTCCCCCATCAGCCATCACATGTTCACACTTGTATTATCACTGACCTAAACCAAAACTCCACGAAATCATATGATCGCCAAACAATACACATATGAAGGTTCTCCTCCAGCACCCTCTTAATCTCGCTTTTCACGGCTCTAGCGTAGACCACGGAAGGGGCTTCTGGTAATTTCATTTTTAAGGGCTATCTCCACTAGAAAGTCACAAACTATTCAAAAAGTGTCATTTGTGTCCTAAACTATTCAATATGACAAATCTGGCACGAACTATTTTTTCGTTAATGTTGATCAGCGTTGACCGTTAGTATTTAACAGAAAATCTAGTCAATATCTATGTGGTTTGTGTCAGATTTTTCATATTGAATAGTTTAGTACACAAATGTACTTTATAGAGAAATTAGCCCTATTTTTAATTATTGAGGGACTTCGCACAAAATGGTTTTAATTATATGGGCCTCCAACTTCTTTAACTAACCAATGGCTAACTAATAATTACCCATGCCTCACTCTTATTAGACATTTAGTCCAATAAATGAGACACTTGCGAAGTGCAGGTTACAAGAAAACCATTGTTTTCATAACCGATAGGATGCTAAACCGGAAAAGTTAGTGGTTCGTGCTTGAATGGTCAACCAATATAGAACTGTTGGTTAACCGTTGATAGAACTTTTCATGCGCTATATTTAAAATACATATATAATACGCTAATTTAGAAGTGAATTTATCACTACCCATAAAAAATTAAAAATCTAAAGTATAACTCATCATTTCATTCCAAAACATATACAACACACAAATAGTGTTTGAATTGAATAGAAATACAAAAAAATGGTATTGCCTTGCAATTGATAAAGATCATTACCGTAGATAAGTGTAACTTGCAAGTGTAATTATCTTTAGCAATCACCTGTCATTATCTTGTATTTGTATTTATCCTAGGCTAGTTGGTTGTACATATTAGAGTCCTTTTGTAATTATGTATCTATACAGTATGGCTATTTAAAGCCATTCAATCAATGGAGTCAACCACCAATTCCCAAAACCTTTTCTGGTATTAGAGCACGCATAATAGCTTCACAGCTTCCGATCCTCACTTTATCACTCTCTTATCTTACCTTTCCAGCTTTCCTCTTTCTATTCGTTTTCTGCACCCATGAGTTCCAACTCCACTACCACAAATAACAGCAGCTCTGGCACCCAGAGCACTCTCTTTGTCGATGCTGGAGACTCCAATCTCATCACTATCAACCCTGCTGCTCAGCTTCCTTTGAAGCTCACGACGACCAACTTTCTCTCATGGAGATCCCAACTCTTCACTCTTCTCATGGGGCTCGATTTGATTGGTTATCCCGATGGTACTCTTGCTGCCCCAGCCAAAACTATTGGTGACGCTCCCAACACAGCTTACAAACCATGCTTTCGTCAGGATAAGTTGCTCCTCTATGCTACTTTTGGCTTTGTTTCAGAATCTATTTTATCTTATATTGTTGTTGTTGTCACCGCAAACGAGGCATGGGTTATCTTGCAGAATATGTTTGCTAATAGATCTCGTTCTCGACTGATGATTCAAAAGAATGATCAAAGTGTTGCGACCAATCTTCAGAAGATGAAGAATCTCGCGGCAGAACTTTCTTTGGTTCAGTGTCCTGTTCCTGAAGAAGATCTTGTTATCCACGTCTTCGTGGCTTGGGTCCGGAATACAGGGAATTTTTCGGCTGCCATTAGAGCTCGTGATTCCTCCATTACTATTGAAGATCTCCATGACAAGATGCTGGAATTTGAAGCTGGTATTGCCACTATTCGTCCTCGCTCTACTGCATCTCCGACCACTACGTACAATACTCAACGCAATCATCGTGTTATCGACATTGGTCGTGGACGTCGAGACAATAGGGACAGTCGCGGCCTTCTTCCTTCACCTGTTCTTGCGCCACTTCCCTCTCAGGCTGACAATAGTCGTCGCTCTCGGTCTTCCCTTATTTTCCAATTCTGTGACAAACCTGGTCATACCGCCAAGAAGTGTTTCTGTATCAATCCTCAACCATGTCAAGCTCATTATACTGTTGTTCCTGCCGCTCCACCACCTCCTCCATCCTCTTGGCTAGTTGACAGTGCTTCCACCAATCATGTCACCTCTGATCTTGGCGATTTGGCGCTCTATTCTGACTAGCGCAGCCCGGACAAGATCCTCGTTGGTGATGGACAAGGTTTGAAAATCTCTCATATTGGTCGTTCTTCTATTTCCACTACCCAGACTACTCTTGTTCTTCGTGACATCTTAAGAGTTCCCGCCATTTGTCAACAATTACTATTTGTTGCTCAACTTTGCAAAGCTAACTCGGTGTTTATTGAATTCTTTGCTAATTTTTTTTGTTGTTAAAGATCTAAGCACGGGGGCTACACTTCTGAAAGGTCGGAATAAAGGTAACGTTTATGAGCTGTCGAGGGATCTTCGAGGGATGCGTCTCGCCCTTGTCTCAACTCGTGTCACTCCCAACTTATGGCATCGTCGACTTGGCCATGCTAACTCCAAGACACTCTCTCAACTCCTTCATTCCCATGCTTTACCTTTTCAATCCATCCAGTTGGTTTCTCCTTGCAATTCTTGTTTTATCCACAAGAGACCGGACTCACTCTCCTTCACCAAGCATCTCTTCCTCTTTCTTTTTGGTCTCACGCATTTGCAGTTGTTGTTTACTTAATTAATCGATTGCCATCATCTACTCTTCATGGTGCAATCCCCTTTTATAGTCTCTTCACTGACCATCCCCATTACACCAAACTCAAGATTTTTGGGTGCCTTTGCTTCCCATGGCTTCAGCCATACTCCCACCACAAGCTTGACCCAAAGTCACGCCCATGCATATTTATTGGTTATTCATCACAACAAAGTGCATATCGCTGCTATGATCTATCCTCCAACAAAGTATTTGTTTCCCTCCATGTTTGCTTTGTTAAGACCCAATTTCCCGGCCTGGCATTATCCTCCTCTTCGCCTACTCACTATTCAGCTAGTGCTTGGTTACCGGCTCCTGAACTACCTATTACTCTGTTTCCTTTACCTATGTCTTCCTCTCTAGGTGCCCAACCCTCTTCTGGTCCCTTGGTGCTGCCTTCCCCAGCTTCGGCAGTGGTAACCCCCCCCCCCCCCCCATCTTGGACTCACAACAATAACAATCACAGTCGTCTCCCACACCGACAACTCTTGCCGCAGCTCCTTCTGCGCTGCCCTGCCCACATAGAATGGTAACTCGCTCTCAGAATAATATATTTAAACCGAAGAAGTTATTTTCTGCTGTCAAGTATCCTCTTCCATCCTCTCTCCCAGCATATTTTGCGATTGCTCTCCATGATCCTAATTGGAACACAACTATGCGCCATGAGCATGATGCATTAATGAAGAATATGACATGGGATTTGGTGCCTCGCACAACAGCTCAGAATGTTGTCGGTTCTAGATGGGTGTACCGCATTAAAAAAAAATCAGATGGGATCATTGATCGTTATAGAGCCCGGGCAGTGGCCAAGGGCTTCCAACAACGCCCCGGTGTTGATTTTTCAGATACCTACAGCCCGGTTTTGAAACCTGTCACTGTTCGAACAATGTTCACCATTGTTGTATCCCATGTTTGGCCTATTGATTCGGGTCCAATTGTACACATTTTACCCCTCATTTCTTGATAGTTTGGCTTTGCATTTCATCGTCCCTCGACATATTTCACGCTAGGTTGTGCTTGTTTGATGTATTTCATGTCTTAGCGCGTGTGAAAGGGTCGAGGATGAGTTTCGGGTCGATTGGAGGTCGAAAAGTGCAAAAAAAGTGAAAAAACGTCCAAAATCACGGTTTGAAAGCAATTATCACGATCCATGTAGCGAGTTCACGATCGCCGGGACCGTGAACTGGAACCACAAATCGTGAACCGCGAAGCGTCCAGAGAGGTTTCAAAGGTGACTCGTCCCGAATATCACAGGGCAAGTATAAACCTTAGTAGGGTGCAATACAGGGCAAGTATGTTTAAATATCGACTTAGGCCAGTCCGTGTACCCCTACTTAAATTGTTTGAAACATTATCTAGCGAATCGGTTTTGGTTGAAAAGATTGCTAATTAAAGTAAAGCAAGGCAAAAGTAAACGGTTTTAAAAGCTCTATGTGAGAAGGATCACTCGGGTGTCGCTTCCCCCTAACTACTACCATGGCACGAGGAAATGGATTACTTGTTAAGGGCAAGGTGACCGTGAACCGCTAGGAAATGCAACAATGGTCGTAGTACACACTCTCGTTTGCCAAACCAAGGGATACATTCTAGGCTACTCAAGTACCCTCTTGGTTAAGGCAATCGATGGTTGACTTACTCTCTCACTCAATTCAATGTAGAGGTTTGCCCTACATTAACCTAGATAGGTGGCTTAAAAATCCTAAGGAATCCCAACTCAATTGAGACTCCCTTGAAATGGGGGTTTCCTTCTCATCGAGGTTAGAATGGCCAATTGGATTGCTAAGCACAAACATGCACAATCAACATGAAAAATACCTCAATCATTGAATTAAACAACACCCATATACAATCATTCAATTCACCCAACAACTACATAGCAAATAGTTAGGGTTTCACAACACCCAAGTGAAAAAGAGTACTTACTACTCCATGCTATGAAGGGGTAGAACACAAGAGGAAGAGGTAGAAACCATCATGGTGATGCCTCCAATATCCTTTGAGCTTGTGTTGACCTTCTCTTGGTGAAAATCTTCCCAATCCACCACTTAGAGCAAACCCTAGCCTTCTTTCTTCCTTGGTTCGTCCTTTCTCTTTCTAAAATCTGAAGAAGACACTTCCTCACACTTTGGGCTCTTCTTTAACGTCTTAAGCTAGAAGAAGACTCCGGGTCATGCATCTTGCAGGAACACCACCTCTTTTGCAGCATTACCTCTCATCCAAGGTAACGTTTCAGGCGATGTCCATTCACTTTGATAGTTCATTCCTCTTGGTGGGAGATCTCAACCACCCCGTATGGGAACACTTGCGTTACCACATACGGGCCTGACCATTTCAACCTTAGCTTCCCTGGGAATAATCTCAACATGGAGTTGTATAAGAGAACCTGGTCTCCCAGTTAGAAATCCTTCCCTCCTTTTAGTCGGGCATCATGCAAGCGCTTCGTCTTTCCCTTGTAAATCTTGGTGTTTTCATAGGCTTGGAGACGCCATTCCTCGAGTTCAAGCACCTGCAACTTTCGTTCATTGCCACACAAAATAGGGTCCATATTCAAAAGTTTTGTGGCCCTGAAAGCCTTATGCTATAGATCTATGGGCAAGTTGCACAATTTTCCATGGGCCAAATGGTAAGGCGAGACGCCTATTGGGGTTTTGTAGGCCGTGCGGTACGCCCATAGAGCATCATCGAGTTTTGTGGACCAATCCTTGCGGGATTGATCCACGGTCTTTTCTAGTATCCATTTCAGTTCCCTATTTGATAACTCGACTTGTCCACTAGTTTGGGGATGATAGGCCACGGACACCCGGTGGGTGACGCCGTAGCGATCGAGGAGTTTTTGGAATTCCCCTTGAAAATGGTTTCCTCGGTCGCTAAGCATGGCCCTCGGGGTCTCGAACCGTGAAAACATCTTTTTCATGAATCCACATACTTGCCTTGCATCATTGGTGGGGAGAGCTTGAGCCTTAACCCACCTCGAGATGTAGTCTAGGCCACAAGAATGTACTTGTCACCAAAAGACGAGGGGAAAGGACCCGTAAAATCGATGACCCAAACGTCAAAGATCTCACAAGTGATATAAATCGTTTGGGGCATCTCATTTCGGTTAGAAGCATTACCTTTCCTTTGGCATTTGTCACAATGACTCACAAATTTGTAGGCATCCCTTAAAAGGCTCGGCCAATAGAATCCCGACTGGAACACCTTTTTTCCCGTTCGGTTGCCTCCGTGATGGCCTCCAGCTGGTCTCGTATGACAGTGGTTTAAAATATCTGCCATTTCCTCCTCCGGTACACACCTCTGAATGACTCTGTCGGCCCCAATCCGAAAGAGGTGGAGATCATCCCAAAAGTAGCATCAGAGGTCGGAGAAAAACTTATTTCTCTCATGTGTATTCATTCCCTTGCGCAACTGACCTCCAGCCAGATAGTTGGCGAAATCGGCGAACCACGGGGTGGCACTCTCTGCAGCGGCGAGGGCGAATAACTGTTCATCGGGGAAGGTGTCATTTATCTCTCTTGGGGAGGTGCCCCTCCCGGTACTTCGAGTCCCGAGAGGTGGTCAGCTGCAAGATTTACGGCCCCCTTTTTGTCCTTGATCTCCACATCGAACACTTGAAGTACTAGGATCCATCGGATTAGTCGGGGCTTGGCATCCGCCTTGCTCATCAAGAATCGGATGGCGGAGTGGTCGGTGTAGACAATAACCTTTGAGAGCACCAGATAAGACCTGAATTTATCGAAAGCGAAGGGCCTCCTGCTGTGCGGGGAAGCTGCCGGCCACTTGTTGCTCCTCTGTGCGAGCGGCTTCTTCTTTGGGGGTAACTCTTTGGCCTCTCTTCCGCTTCGAAGAGTAACCGCCCCTACTTCTACTTCGTCGGCTGGCTTCCAAGAATGAGTTGCTTGTGAGATAATCCCTACACTTGTGGCCGGGGTTGTCAGACGGTTTTGCTGGCTCTCCAACCCCGCTTAGATGGCCGAGAACTTCTCTGTTGCCTCCTTGATGAACCTGTCGATTCTTTCAAACTTTCCCGATCTGGAGGCGACAAAGGTCATCACTAACTCCTCAAGGCGGGACATCTGGTCGTCATGCACAGGGGCGATGGAATAGAGCTGCTTGCATGGAGCCGATTCCTCACTCACCATGTGCCACTCAGCCTCCTCATGGTCCTCACTTGTACCCCACTCAATAGATGGCACTGCTCTATTTTCTTGCTCCTTGTCTTCGAGAATCACCTCGATCAACTTGTCAAGCTTCGCTTCAAGTGGAGCGCTTGCTCCCACACTTCTCACTCCTCTATCATTAGTTCTTCTCCCGCTCCTCGTCAAACCCCAATCGTACCCCTTTAGGGCCATGTCCTCGAGCAATTCAGTTACTTGAGGTGGAGCCATAATCATCAATTTCCCTTGACACAGAGAGTCAATGAGAATTTTTTCTTCTTGGATTAGTCCACAACTCCACCGTATAAAGTTTCAATCTGAAACTGCTCATCGAACCCATGGTGAGGGCATTGAAGAAAGTAATCGGAGAATCTCTCCCAAGCATCCCTCAAGGTCTCGTCTTCTTCTTGCTCGAAATGGGTGATCTTCTTCCTCCACTCGGTCGTCTTCGAAGGCAGGCAGTAGCGGTTCATGAATTTGTTGAGAAGATCGTCCCATGAGGTTATTGAACGAGGCGGGCGGTTGTTTAGCTACCAGATTGCTTTCCCCGCTAGTGATTAGGGGAAAAGCCTCAATTGCAAAGCTTCAGCCGGCATGCCATTGATTTTCGAGCTTCCCGCGAGCTCCAAGAATCTCTGAACATGCTCTCTTGGTGACTTGCTCGGAAGACCGTGGAACAAAGCATTGTTCTATATCATGGTCACTAGAGCCGGCTTTATCTCAAAATTGATGGCTGCCACGGGAGGGTACAAGATTGGCGATTGAATGTCCGACGGCCGTGGGGCCATATAATATCCCATTGTCCTCGGGATTTCCTCTTTTGCCGCCGCATCATTTAGATTACGAGCTTGGGCGGCTCCTGCTTCTCTTTGGTTGCCCGCCATTTCTACTCCAATTTCGGGTTCACCTTCCACTTCTTCAACTTCTACTCCACTAACATCGGGACCAAATTGTTGTCCCCTTTCTTCACTTATCCTCCATGCCTTTGCTAGCTCCCTCTCCCGTGCTAGGAGTCGGAGAGTTCGGTTTATGTCCACGCCATGTGGTAGCAAGGGTGTCGAATTGCTCCAGGTCATGCACCTCCCTACACACACTAAGAAAACAATACCAAGTCTAGCACAAGCAAAGCACAAACACTTTAAAAATTGGAAATTAAAAGGTAGATTAACACCAAACAACTTTTTCAAAATAACAGACCGGTGTTCCCCGGCAACGGAGCCAAAAACTTGACTCGTCCTGAATATCACAATTAATTCCTGCCTAAGGTCCAAGTATAAACCTTAGTAGGGTGCAATACAGGGCAAGTATGTTTAAATATTGACTCGAGCCGGTCCGTGTACCCCTACTTCAATTGTTTGAAACATTATCTAGCGAATTGGTTTTGGTTGAAAAGATTGCTAATTAAAGTAAAGCAAGGCAAAAGTAAACAGTTTTGAAAGCTCTATGTGAAAAGGATCACTCAGGTGTCGCTTCCCCCTAACTACTACCATGGCATGAGGAATTGAATTAATTGTTACGGGCAAGGTGACCGCGAACCGCTAGGAAACGCAACTATGGTCGTAGACCACACTCTCGTTTGCCAAACCAAGGGATGCATTATAGGCTACTCAAGTAACCCTCTTGGTTAAGGCAATCGATGGTTGACTTACTCTCTCAATCAACCCAATGGTTGCTCGGCTTAATCGCGCTTAACCAAATTGCTCAATCCAACATAGAGGTTTTCCCTACATTAACCTAGATAGGTGGCTTAAAAATCCCAAAGGAATCCCAACTTAATTGAGCCTCCCTTGAAATGGGGTTTCCTTCTCATCGAGGTTAGAATGGCCAATTGGATTGCTAAGCACAAACATGCACAATCAACATGAAAAATACCTCAATCATTGAATTAAAAAACACCCATAAACAATCATTCAATTCACCCAGCAATTACATGGCAAATAGTTAGGGTTTCACAACACCCAAGTGAAAAAGAGTACTACTCCATGCTAGGAAGGGGAAGAACACAAGAGGAAAAGGTAGAAACCATAATGGTGATGCCTACAATCTCCTTTGAGCTTGTGTTGATCTTATCTTGGGGAGAATCTTACAAATCCACCACTTAGAGCAAACCCTAGCCTTCTTTCTTTCTTGGTTCGTCCTTTCTCTC